GCAGGAATGAAAAAAAGAAAAAGAAAGGATGAAGGAAGAGGCAGGAAAAGTGAAGCCTAGGTCCTAATGTGAAAGGAATGAAGTTATGCCAGTGGAAGTTAAACACTTGTGGCTTTGGTAGATGTAAAGGCAAAAATCTTTTCCTAACAGTCCATAGTAGATACCCACAGGAAAAATTTTTAAAACATCTGTACAATCCACTGAAAAAAAACCAAACACTTTCCAAAGAATCATTAAAAAGTCAGATGCAGATTTTTTTTTAAGTACATGCTTTACTACAGTAACACATTTTATGTTGCAGGTTTTCTTAAACATGTTTCTTTCTCATGTCTTATTAATTAATTTTTATTTTGGCTTAATTCTTAGTCACAGCTGGTATTCAGATTTTGGTCACCAAAATCATTCCTACATTTCACAACGCAGAAGGAAAGTTATAGAAGATAGTTTGATTTTCTTGGTTTTAGCAACTAATTATTTGATTCACTATCACCACTTAATCCTACCTCCAAGCCACAGAAAGTCATTCACAGACCGCAGAAGTTCCACTGCCATGTGATAATGCACCAAGGAATCTTGTAACATGCCAGCTTGTAAACACAGGTCACCAACGTGTTTCCGCATCCGGCCTTGACAACGCTTCTTATAGTGTCTGCAAAATAAAAAGTACAACGTACAGTTATTTACAGGAAATGCTCATTTGAGGTAATAAACACCTAAAGCCAATTTTCTGTCTTCCTTAACAGAATATTAACATTAATTTACTCTCTTTCTCTGAGCAAACATCCAGTATGAATTCTAACCAGCATAATATGCAAAAGAAAAAGAACCAACAATTTGAAGATATATTGAAAAAAAGCAATGCATCATGTATTTTGGCTACATGGCATTTACGCAGATAGTCACAAAGTTGAAAGACTGCACTTCAGAGCACCTTAATAGCCTTGTCACAAATGAAATAAAACAGAATCATAGAATTGCTCAGGTTGGCAGGGACCTCGAAAGATCATCTGGTCCAACCTTTCATGGGAAAGGGAGACCAGATGAGATTATCTAGCACCCTGTCCAGTTGCATCTTGAAAACCACCAAAAGCAAGGTTCTTGTAGTCCTCAATGGGTATTTGGCTGCTTTTCCATAGCTGGTATGCTTCTTTTTTTGCTTTTAAGTACACTCAAAAGCTCATTGTTAAGCCAGGGTGCTCTCTTGTTCTGCCGCCTTCTTCTCCCTCGGTAGGGAATGGATTGTTCTTGTGCTTCCAGGAGGCTGTTCTTGATTAACTCCCAGGACTTACAAGCTCCTTTGCCATCTACAGATGCTTCCCATGGAATCCCTTGTATCTGGGCTCTGAAGTTGGCTCTTCTAAAATCCAGGGTCTTTGTCCTTCTACTGGTTTTCAGAGTGCTCAGCAGGATCTTAAATGCCACAATGTTGTTGTCGCTGTATCCAAGGCTGCCATTGGTAGTTACGTTATCAAGCAGGTCTTCTTGGTTTGCAAGCAGTAAACCTAGCACTGCACTGCTCCTAGTCGGCCGGTCCAGCACCTATAGCAGGAAGCAGTCCTCAATGTATTCCAGGAAAGTGATGGACAACTTGTGCACCGCTGTGTTGCCTTCCCAACAAATGTCCATGTAATTGAAGTCACCCATGAGAAGCAGATTCTGTTGGCCTGAGACTTCCGTAAGCAGCCAAAGTAAGGTTTCGTCAGCCTTGTCATCCTGATTGGGAGGTTGGTAACAGATATCTGACAAAAGATGCACCTTGGTGATGATCCCTCTAATCTTGATCCAAAGGCATTCGATAGAACTTTCATGGTCTCCATATCTCAGTTCCACACATTCAAATTTCTCTTTCACATGAAGTGCAACTCCATCCCCTCTCCTCCCCTTCCTATCTTTCTGAAAGAGCTTGTAGCCATCCACTGTGATCTTCCAGTCATGTGAGTACTCCCACCATGCTTCTGTGGTTCCTATGACACCATAACTCTCAGACTGGGCATGGAGCTACAGTTCCTCCTTTTTGTTGCCCAGATTACTTGCATTGGTAGGCATGCACTCGAGGTGGCTGAACTTAGGATTCTTGCCTTTGGAGAGGGTTGGAGAGCATTCTTAATTACTGTTGTAGGTGCACTCATCTACCCCGTTGCTTATGAATATGCATGTATCACAGTTGTGGACACTACCACCCCAAGTTCATTAGTTTAAAGCACAATTCATGAAGTCAGCCAATCTGCTAGCAAAGATTCTCCTGCCTCTTCTTGAGAGGTGGATCCTACCTCTCCTCAGTAGGCTGCATTCATCACAAATCTACCCCTGACCACTGAAACCAAAACCCTGGTGACAACACCAGGCATGAAGCCAGGTATTGACCTGCACGATGCATCGACTGCTGCCTGCACCCCGATCTCTGACTGAAAAGACAAAGGAGAAGATCACTGGGGCACCCGTAGCCTTTACTTGTGCCCCCAGGGCCCTGAACTCCTGCTTGATCTTGCCCAGGTTTTGCTTTCCTGTGTCACTGGTGCCCACATGGAAAAGAAGGAGGGGACGGCAGTCTGCGCTTTTAACCAGCTGTGGCAGCTGTCTCTCTGTGCCATCCCAGATCCTGGCTCCTGGCAAGCAGCAAACCTCCCTTGACTGTATACCAGACCAGCGGGTGCCCCTCACCCACTACCAGCCCTCGCCGTGTCCTTTTGCAGCTTTTACTCTGTGCTGCTCGTGCAGCTTCTCCCCGTGAATTTTGCTCATGGGTTTTGTCCGCTGCCAAGGCTTCTTATCTGTGGCTGGTTGGCACATAAGAGGAAGGGGAGTGAAGTGACAGCCTGTTCCTCTGGGTCATAAGAGACCATGGTGCCTCCTGCTCCAAGGTGCTGTCAGTTTGCTGTTGCAGCTCTTTGCCCCGTAGTCTCTGTAGGTCAGTGCCACAGGGCCCTCGTACTGCTTGCCAAGTCTCAAATAACCCTCTGTTTCTTGTTCATCCTCCCTAATACAGCCTAGCCTGCGAACCTCCTCCTGCAGCTCCTGCACCCGCTGCCCGAGTGACCCCAGCCGGCAGGGGTGCCATCTTCTGCCAACCTCAAAGCAGAGCCTAACGAGCCCGTCGCATTCCCTGGAGGCCTCACGCTGCTGGACAGCTTCGCGATCCTCTCAGCACGCAGCAACCGTTGCTCCTACTGCTGCTGCCGGCGTTGGCTTCCCGTGGTTTGTAAAGAGTTGCTTACGTTTGTGAAGAAATACTATCTTTTTAGAAATGTCACGGCCCTGAAACAGGTGTTTTTCTTTTAAAGGGATGATTAGTGAAAGACCACTATCGCTGCAGGCAAGAACTGACAGGGTTTCTCTTGCTACTCCTTTTTTTACAAATTAAAATAAATGGTGAAGTTCTTTCCTTTCCCAAACAAAATTAATAGCCAAGGCTACTATTTTCAGTAGGACTTCACTGAACAGACACTTTGGTACAACTGAAAAGGCAACTTCAGCGCAAATCCACGCAATAAAGGCACTAACCTTACTATTTAATTTTTTTTTAGTAAGTAAGTTGCAGCTAAAGAATGTAACAGATGCAAAGTAAGACACACTAGACTTTGAAAGCACCTCATGATTTAAGTCACAGTTCAGAGCAATGCAGCTCTCCTGAGTCCATCAGCAATTCTCCTGTTCTCCCTCCTGCAAAAGTATTCCCTAGCAAGAATGTCCTTGGTCCACCTTATAAAATTGTTTTCTTAGAGAAAAAATAAATGTCAACTTCGATATTTTATTCACTTATCTACATTACTCCAATAGTATATCCTTTTGTTCTAACAAAGGCACAAAATTTCATTGTCCAAACTTCACGCCAAAGAAAAAAAAAAATCTTTTTTCTTTGGATGGTTTAAACTAAAATAAATGTTACCTGAGAATGAATGTTAATTAAAAAAATTGCTGTAGATGTCATTCTTTATTGTATACATGAAGTATCTCCAAAGAATCTGGTTAAAAGGGGTTTCCAAAAATACAAGAACCATCTCGGATTGACTGTCATAGTTTACATTTTTAGCTTTTAGTAGATGTAATGATACTTTTTCAATTAAACTAAGTCCAACAGAATATCTTTTAAAAAATTACCTAGCATATTTGAACCTAACAACTTAAAAAAAAAAAAAAAAACACGAAAACATCCATTCTCCAGATGCTGAACTCTCATACCCTAGAGCAAGACTTGAATCTCAGAGGAAATGCCGCAATTATGGAATGAAATGGGGTTTGGGGTGGTGGGTTTTTTCCAGCAAAGAACTTCCCAGAGAACCCTAGAGATCAATTAAAGTGCGACTGAAATAATCTCTCATAACACATCTGAACAGGCTGTCATCAAGTCTGTAATGTGGGGAAAAAAAAGTAAAAGGGGCACAGAACATATGAAGTATAAGGGTAGGAATAAGTATATTAATTTACTTCCTTTAGATTTTAAGGCAGAAAGGCTAGGAGAAACGGTAATAATAAAACCAATTACATGTTACTGGTTTGTTTGCTTTTGAGATTCTTGGTTTGGGTTGGGTTTTTTACACCAAAAAGAAGCATCAAGTCCAAAGGATAACCACTGCGTTCAGCCACCAAATAATGTCTTATTCCTTGTGGTTAGTTCAGAAAAAGAATAGTTCATCAAGAAGATGAAGAGAAAGTAACTGATTTATATGGATGGAGGACAGATATTTAAAAAGAGAAGATATATGGAAGTACATACAATGTCCTTATAAAAATTAAATAGAAATCAGAACCAGTGTCATTGTTCAAAAGAAAAACTGGAAATTATAAAAGGAGACACGAAGCATGTCTCCTATTGCTCCTCTCCATCTAAAAAGTTACAAATAACTCCTGTATAAATGTTTCCAGTTTTCTGATCTATCGCATCATAGTCACAATTGATGTGAAGATGGCGACATTAAATGAAGCTAAATACAAGATGACTGTTGTTCTTTCAGATATGTCAAGAAATTGCAATATTTCTTACCTTTTATTTTTCAACAAGTATGTACTTTACAGATTTCTAAGAAAAAAAGGCAAGAAAATTCAAAGTGAAAACTAAAGCTGCTCTGCACAAACTACAGAAGGGCACCAAATCCTACCAAGACTTCAGTCTGAGCTTTGGGTTATAGAGAAATACCTCCATCAAAAAGTTACTTTGTAATCTTGAATCAGTATTGTATAGGAGAGTGTAAATTGTTTACAAGTCAGGTTTTACTAATCTCTGCATTCCAGAATGAAATTAAAGATTTTAAGTGTTATGTTGCTTTTAACCTTTTTCTTTTTTTTTTTTTTTTAAACACAGAATAAATAGTGGAATTGGAGAATCGTTGTTCCCTTACACAGCTATAATTCCTTTCAAAGATGCTAACACGTCAAATTTCCTCTCTCTACACCTTCAAGTAATCTCTATGTTTATGGACAAACTACATTTCTTATTCTCTCAAAACTCTAGTTTTTAAATGTTTTTCCAGATTGCATACGATTAAGTTCATAAACATGAGTCGTACAGCAAAAGGAAAAGAGATGGTACCAGACTCCTAAATCAGAACCTAATACCGGAATTGTTTCCATCGTACTGCCTCAGCAACAGCTCTTCCTAACCGATACCTAATTCTGCTGCAGATTTATGCATATGGCAATATATGCAGAGTT